AATATTAATTACACTTATTATATCCTAAAGAATTTGACGTACAGTCGCCTTCAAATGCGATGATTCTATTACACCACGCAACTAACACAGACTGCGCCTCTTTTTGCAAAAAAATTTTAAGTGCTATCGATGTTACGGTCAAATTAAAAATAGTATGTTGAACCTATACCGTTTCCTTGAATATTATATTTAGTGTAAAATGCAATGTCAAGACGTTCAAGTTGTTACTTTTAAAGTAGAACACTGCGAACGACAACGACTGTACTTCGTTAACAATTAAGCTACGTAATATATAAACCCATCTACAGTAGTGCATTGATGTCGACTGCCAAGTCTTTTACATGATTTTTTTTTATTTAGTTACGAAAATTAAATTAATATTGAAACATATTTCTATTGCTAACAAAAACGTTAATACATTGAAGCATAAAGATAATACTAAAATCATTATAAAATACTTGGAATAATTATTAAATATTGTAGGTTATTTATATCTATAATAAAACAATTCAAACTAAAAAGTAGTGAAGAAAACTTATCACACCAATTTTTTTGTTTATACAGAATAAAAAAAATCACATCAAACCAGATGTACGACAGAACAGTGGTGAGGAAATATTTGATGGAAATAGCAAGCCCAAAGCTCTTGAAAAAAAGAAATTGAGTAAAATTGGTTGGCTTTTTAAAATTGTACGTATCTCATCTACTTTTAGTATATATTTACTGTTATAATTAAGCTAGAACCGCTTTACATGATAAAACTCCATTTAGGCAGAATTCGTAATCGTACGAACAACTCTCGGAAATAGATTTAAAGCGAAACAAACGTATAATAACTTTGTCTCGCTCTGAAGAGACTGTAGAGCAGTCTTTCCCAGTATAACGCCCCCTTGTGGGCGCCGCAGGTCTCAAGGGAGGCGTTATTTGATGTTATTCTTTAGTATATTTACAATACTTTTAAAATAAGCAGGCCGTAAAGGAGTTAGCAACACATTGGATAGCGCGAAGCTAAATTTCAGCAATTAAGATAAGTTAAAAATTAACAGTGACAGAGCCCGCTTTAACATCTTCGCACGAATCGTCCCGGCTCGCCCGGTGAAATATCACGACCACACAGAAGACAGGCGTCAAGTGGAAGCAATTCCGCGTTTCGTCTGATGAGTGTGCGTCCTGGAGGTCTAATTTAGTCCTCTTTCCGTTCCAATTTTTTTTGTTATGAGGAAAGGATGGGAAGTGGAACTGGACTTTCCGGATGAGAGGATGCATGGAAAGGGAAGATATTTTCTTTCTGTGCATCCACACCTCCGTCGATTAAAATTAGGCAACGCATATGCAATTGCGTATGTCGATGGGCAACGGTCACTTCGCTATTCAGCGATTTCAGGTGACCGCTCGCTCGTTTGCCACCTTATAATATAAAAAAAAATATGTACTTTGGTGCTTTTCTGGTAAATGTTGCGGATATCCGTGCCCTTAGGATCAATTAAAATTAAAAAGGTGACTTGTTTGATCCCTAGTCCTGTAAAAGACCTAAATGATTTACGTATTTTAACATAAAAATATATACAATTGTTTTTATCGTTCATGAAAGAATTGTTAATATTTTCTATTTTTTTTAAATCGGTTATTTTCCAACAGGTTGATATTTTCGTAAGTACATGCAAACTTATATACGTTGATGTGATTGTCGTGTCAATTGTTTTTTTTTTTAATTAAATACAAACGATGCCCATCGAATTTGCTCGGACATGTCACTTTATTAAGATCAAAACATAAAAATATCTTTTTAGGGTTCCGTACCTCATAGGAAAAAAACGGAACCCTTATACGATCACTTTGTTGTACGTCCGTCTGTCTGTTAAGACCCTTTTTCTCGAAAACGCGTGGAGGTATCAAGCTGGAGTTTATTTCAACAACCGCTTAAGTCTATCTACGAGATATCTACAGTAGTGATTGTTCATTATGAATTATAAGCAAAACAATATTTTTTTTCAATTTCATAATTTTTTTTCCATAAAATTTCAGCTTGACTAGTGACTCGTAAGTAATCGTTATCATCATTAATTTATAAAATTCTATTTATAAAACACTAGCCGTCGCGTGAGACTCAGAGTAATACTACTAAAGTAATCAAATATCTTATTTCAGGAGTGATTAAAGTTTGCTTAGTTTGATAATTTCCTTTTTAATTTATCAATCTCACCCAATTTATCTTTATCATAATAGATTTATTAAAAATATTGTCGAATTATATCAAGTAATA